CGGATAGATACACAATAAAAACATAAACACATACATGCGTATATAATATATGCATCAGATCTACATATATGAATACAAATTTGCCTGCATGTATAGATGTCATTTCATAAAACCTATCAAAAGTTCTCACTTTTCATATCTCCTGTCCTATCAGCAACATTTGAAAGAGTTGATCAATTATCCTTAAAACACAGATATTCTTTTTCATTGACATTCAAATACTGTAGGCCCTACTTTTTTCCTTTCGCTTCTCAAACCATTCTTCAATATTTCTGCACTGTAGTTTTTAAAACTGGAACTCTTAGTTTATTTCATGCACCCTACCCCTTTGGTGACTGTTTTGGTTTTTTAACTTTTTGTTTGTTTTCATAAAATAATTCATTTACACTGTGTTTCCTTTATATACATTGAACTCCATGTAATCTCTCATTTAAATTATAGTTCACAAAAATACTTGTTTTCACTGCATCCCATATAATTAATTAACACTAATCTATGCCAATTATTATAGCATTTTTTTCAAGTCACTGTTGAATCTTTCCCATTCCCTCACTCTTGACCCAAATCTATCCATTAAACTCTATTAATCTAGTTATTTCCACCCTACCTTCCCATTTTGGACATTTATATACACTTTATTAGTTATCCGTCTATTTTTACAATAATATTGTAATACACTATTTGTCTTTACAAGACTTAGTTCACTCATCATAATGCTCTCTAGACTTTTTCATATTGTATAATATTTTGTGAAATCACTCCTCTTTAATGCTGTATAGTATTTCATTGTACAAATATGCCACAATTTCTCAATTCTCTGTTGATGGGCATTTGACCATTTCCATATTCTAGCTATTATAAATAATGCTGCTATAAACATGTGGCTATGTAGGGTAGAATCGGAACCGACACATAGCTGATCCTCTGGTGGGTTTTCAGAGGCAGTTAATTGCACAGGAGGTATTTACCATCCTTCTCTTGTGGAGCAGCTGGTAACCTCAAACTGTGTGCCTTTGGTATTGCAGCATAGCTTCTTGCCACGAGGCCACCAGAGCTCCTTAGGTGTACATATTTCCATTCCTGTCTCAGGGCACAACTTCAAACCCGTTATACAACTTATATCTTAACTATAGTACCTAATATCATCGTCTGCTTGTTGTTATTGTTAGGTGCTTTTAAATCAAGTATTATTTGTAGCAACTCAAACAGCTTTGAACCTGTCTTATCCTCTGCCATCCTCATTATTTCTAACATGCTTGATCCCATTGCAACATTTACTGGGTTAATCCATTTTGGTTAGGTTTTCTCTTTTGCTAGTCCTCCACCATTTCCAAGCATGATATCCCTCTTCATGAATAGCTTTCCTTAACAATATACTAAGAGCATGTGAGATGAAGTTTCACCATCTTTGGGTTTTAAAGACACTCTGGATGCACTTTTTCCAAGACATATCCATTTGTTCTTTGGTAGTCTATGGGATAGCCAGTACTCTTCTCCAAAATCATAACTCAAAGGCATAAATTCTACTTTTGGTATACTTATTGATTTTCTAGTTCTCCAATGTATAGCAAGTAATTGAAAAGATCAGGACCTAAATCACTTAAGGGATTTACTCACCTAAGTCTTGTAGCTGACCTGCTCAATGCAATATATCTCCTAATCTCCTGACTATTGGTGTCAAGGATATTGATTGTAGATCTAAGCAACATGAAATCCTAGACTACTTCAGATCCTGTGGCAAGAATTGTTGTTTCCTCCTTAAAATCTGCATAATACCGTTTGTTGATAAGTCTTTCTACAATTTTGATGCCACATTCCTCTTCATAATGTCCAGCTTCTTAAATTATTTGCTCAAGATAAAAATCAATTTGGTATTGGGGAAAGATTCATCCCTGGCACACAGATTTCCTGATTTTAAACCTCACAATTTTCCATTGTTTCATTCAGACAACAGATTCTTGGTCTAGGTATAGAATTAATATGAGCACAGATCTGGATTTCCCAGAAAACTATATTTGTTCCTCAACCATCTTCCTTGTGTTAGTGACAATTCTATTCTTCAGTCATTAAGGACATACATCTTCACCACATTCACGTATGTTCTTTTCTCATCCAATTTTCAATCTGTTACCACATCTTCCTAGGTCTAACTGTGTATTTCAATTCCACTATTACAACAGTTTTATGCTATCGTCACTATTTATCTTGGCTATCATTAATCCACCTGTCTTTTTTCTGTCCTCTTTTTAAACTATTTACTATATAGGTGATGATTTGTTCACCCCTTCATTCAGTATTTTCTAAGCAACCTCAAAGTGAAAACACAATTCCTAATATATTAATCCCATATATTTGGTTTCAGTAGTCTTCAAAATTATATTTCCAACTAACTTCCCTTTGTCCAATCCTGTCTAGTTACACAGGTGGCATTTCATGATGGTTCTAAGAACTCTTGTACATTTGTATTTTTTTTCCTCCTGGAACATTTTACCCTGACATCTGCATATCTTATTCTCTTACATAATTCAAAATTATACTAACAAAAAGGCATTTTTTGAGTATGATCCTATGCAAAAGTGCAGTTGCTCAACACTGACACAGCTACTTCTGTGGTGTAACTCTTTTCTAAATAGAAGTTTTGTCATTAAATATTCTCCATAAGGATGTACCTTTTTTCTGTTTTGTGCACTTATGTAGATTCATCATCAGAAACAGTGTGTGACACATAGAAATATTGAATATGCTTAAAAATTGAATGACTGACATGGAGAATGAATGACATGGAGAAGAGAACATAAGAAAAGAGAGGGGAAAGGAGAGGAGGGGAGAGAGCAAGGGTGGAGAAAGAGGAGAGAGAGAAAGAGAGAGTGAGGAAGGGAAGAAAAAAACAAAGAGACAAATTTTATTTTCTTACTAGAAGATACCCCTTAAAAACTTCTTTCAGAGAGCTCTGGTGGCCTAGTGTCAAGAAGCTGCACTGGAATCCCAGAGGTTTGAATTCACCAGGTGCTCTGCTGGAGAAGGAGGGACAATCTCCTCCTATACCAGTCAGATCCAATTTGATGGTACACACATAAAAAATAAAAAATAAAATAAATTTAAAAAATGTTTATTTTATTATTGTTTTTAAATTATATGTTTAAAAACAAATGAGTTCTATAAAATGTTATACAAATACTCCTAAATGAAAGTAAATCAGGACTAAAACAAATGTACAGACTTAAAATCTCATAAAAAAATGCCATTTAGTCAGCTTTTTCAATAATGGCACATTTACCTATATTGGACTCTGAGATTAATATCTGCAGCAAAATAAACTCTTCATATTTTACTATGCTACCAAAAATTATTGGCATTCACACAAAAATTACAATATATTTGTAACGATATAGTTTCTATTTTCATTTGATATGTATTTTTTAATTATTTTCAGTATGAGACTTTAAAACTTTGGGGTTGTGTTGTTTTGCAATTTGCATTTCATGGGTATTACTGCTCCTTCCCCCAAGAGCAAGTGTTTTGAGCTTTTGCCTAGGGTAGAATTCTGCTAAAAGGTGTTGATTTAAAACCCTGCAGAGCCCTTAGCAATGAATATTCCTTGAATGATACAAAATCTTTTGTCTATACGCTGAATTGAACAAATGTGCTGTGATGCTGCATATTTTTCCGTAGTCTTGTCACATACCATAATGGTTGCCCATTAAGTACAATGTTTGGATGAGCTTCCAAATTGATTTACGCAGGGAATCAGGGGTGGCATCCACTCCCTAAACTAGTTGCCTCTGGAAACTATACAAACTCTCTAAACTCTACAAATGATGGTAGTTATTGGACAGAGTCCTGTATAGAAATGATGTTAGTTATAGAACAGGGTCAGCTCTTTTGTGCAAAACTTACTCTCAGTCGCATTCAACTTGATGACACCACCACTGCTAAATTTAATTAGTGCTGTTATATCTGGAGGAACACTCTTCCACTTTGTACATCCTTTGTCAATGTGCAGTATGAAGTAACCTGGGTTGCTGTGATGCTGAACCTTATACCACTGGAGTATCAAATACCAGAATGAATTCCCAATGTTGACAGTGTTTGGTGTAGCTTCCAGTTGTAAAGCAGATTTGGAAGCAGGAGTGGCATCCACTTCCTAAACCACATGCCTCTGGAAACTCTATGAACTTGGAGAAATGATAGTTATGTAAAGGCATTAGTCTTTTGTTCATAGAGTCACTCTGAGTGGAACTCAACAGCAATCAACAACAACAACATGAGACTTTGAAATGTAGATCAAACAAATTGTGCTTGAGTATTAATTGAAAGGTTATAAACATCTACTTAAATACTTGAGAAGGAGTCAGTTTTATGAGGTTGTGTAGTAACTACTAAGGTAAATGTCAGATTAAAAGATCCAGCTGTCTAGTTAGAGTTGATTCTGCCACATTAAGAACTATTCTCCAATGTTAGTATATGTATATGTAGTCTTTTAGTTGTTCATAGGATATAAAAAGTCATTAAAGAAATAATAGAATTGTTGTCAACTTCAGCCTTGGAGAAGTGATACAGGGCCCAGTTCTCTTGTAAAGTGATAGTTTTTGTCATTAATTTGGTGAAATCACTACTTTGCTTCTTCTTAAACTTTCCTATCAACAATTTATGATTAGTGCAAAACTACTGAGAACAATTCAGGAGACATATTTTAATATCTGTTGAAATTAAATAAAATAGTCTAAGGAAGTAGAGAAACAGCATTATTTGTTTATGTATATTTATATATTGACTTTTTAGAAAAATATTTGTTTACTAAGAGTAATTACTACTTCTGTGGAAACATTTTTACGTGAGTGTTTTTAAAATAAGGATTGTATTAAAATGCCTCCTGGGTGTTTGTACATCTAAACATTTTGACAAGTTTGATAACCTTTTAATTACAAAAATACTTAAGAAAAAAATGTAAATCAGATACTTGCAGATTTTAATACATTTCTATGTTTTACTTCCAGCAGGAAAAAAGTCAAGAGAGCTCAAGAATCAAAGGTAAGAAATGGATGTTATAAAATTATACCTAAGTTTGGCAAGCTCTGGTGCCCTAGTGGCTTCTTAAGAAGCTATGCTGCAGTCCCAGAGGTGAGCGGTTTGAATCCACCACATGCTTTGCTGGAGAAGAAGGGGCAATCCCCTCCTGTATCAGTCAGATCCAATTTGACGTGCACACAAAAAAACTGAAAAAAAAAAATCTAATTTGATAAAAATACAGGAAAAAATATTTTTTACTCTTTTGAAAATAAAATCAAATGAGAAAATAATGACAAATTAGAATTTTCAATAGGAAATTTAAATAATTGAAAAACTTTTGATAATTCTCCAAGAGATGGAAAATTCTAGAGTCAGATGTTCTTTCAATAGTGTTCTTGAGATCTCCAATAAAATATTCTGTTTAATTCCTAGATATCTTTGATGAAAATTTTCCATAAGGCACTTAAAGTATGAGTATACTGTAACATTTACAAATTGGCTGATACATTTTTCAAAATATTTCATGAAAAGCCCACTATTTAATCATTTTCATCCCATTATATTTTTTCTTAACAAATTAAAAATATATATGTGTATAGTAACATTAGAGAATAGTTCTTACTATGGCAGAATCAACTCTAATTAGAGATTTTGTTGTAGTTATATGCTGTCTAATTGAGGGCTACTTATTGCTGATCCTTCAGCAGGTTTTCAGAGACAAAAATTGTGTGAGAGGATATTACTCATCCTTCTTTTGCAGAGAAGCTGGTGGATTAGAACCTTGTGTCTTTGAGATTGCAATGTGTCTTCTTAGCCCTAGGGCTGTAGAGCTCCCTCTGACTAGACACAAGGGGAATGTTTTCTTGTAAGAGGCATTCTTAAGTTTTGAAGTTACTTGAGATAATGAACCCCTAAGCCTGAAATCATCAAGGAGACATTATTAATATATACTGCTGCTGATTTTAATAACAGAATTTGAGAGATGTGCATTATTTCACAAGTCCCTAGTGTCTCCATTCAAGTGTAGACTCTTTGACACTTTTTGTCTAGTTCTATGGAGCCCTTCCTCCAGTTGTTGAAGGATGAAGACTGATAACATAGTCTTCCTCTTTTATTAACATTCCTTTTTGTTATTTTTGCTTAGTAATACATGTTTCTAGAATTTGATAATTCTCTTTTGCTTTTCTCTAGATTTTTGAAAAAATCAAAATAAGTTCTAGAGAAGTCATTAAGCTTGCATATAAAGAACAATTATATTTCTAAAGGTGTCTTGATTAGTGATACTAATTTTGCTTACCTTTAAGAACTTTACATACAATCCATCCGGATTGACTTACATAGTAAATATATTTGTGTTTAGTCATCTCTGTGTGCCTATATTTATGAATAATATGAAAAGATACATTTTCAAATTGTTTTTCTTAGTATAGTTTATTCTAATTATTTATGCCAGACTGCAATTCTAGAGACTCTTGACCTATTCGTGTTCATTTTGGGGCAAACTGAAGTATAACTTGTTATTTTTTTTATGTGAATTTATTAGACTTGTTTATTCTCAAAACATCCATAACAACTGAAAGCTTTATACTTTGTGGTACAAAAGGGAACTCCTATTCCATATTATGCTATGTGATGTTTGTTTAAATGATATATACATTTCAAGCACAGAGTATGCATACCTTTTTAACTTGAAAGTCTCAGTGTCTCAAGTTAATCCTAAATTATATTTGTTATTTTTGTTACAGTAGAAGTTACTTATTGCCAGTCCTCCTTATGCTTTATTGCTTTGGGGTACATAAACCATATCATCTGAAATAGTAGAAATTACATTTTTCAAATTGTTATCTAGGAAAATATTTGTTTTGTAATGTAGTAAAAATTAAGACAATACTTGTCTCTTCTTTGATGATTATTGACATAAAGTTTTGGTGTATTTATATATGTTGTATATTGTCGAGTTGGAACCGACCCATAGGTGACCCTCCAGAGAGAGGCAGATTTTCAGAGACAATATTCCTAAAGAACATACCTCTAGAAACTCAATGAACTTTGATAAATGTAAATTGTTGGCTTCAGGCCTTTTGTTCATAGGGTCACTATGAGTCGTGTTTGATTCAACAGCAATCAACAACAACAACATATATATTCATGTAAATATTTGTAAATAAACATATACATATATAGTTTATTATTCACTGCTTAGAATAGATCAATATTTTTCTCGAATATTTTGAGGAAACATCTTGGAATTTTGTTTCATCGGAATTGTTCAAGGTTATTTAAAGTGTTTCTAAATGTCAATATGTTGGAAGGACACATTTGGGGACATAAAAATAATAGTTTATCCCTAAATATGTGACAAATATTCTGAAATTAAACTATTACACAAACCTTGGCAAGTGATTATTGAAATGTGAGCTATATTCTAACTTGATATTATTATCTAATTCTAAGATAGCAATTCTCTTGACTTTTTGAATAACTGTTAATCTCATTTACTGTAACAGTTTCATAAATAGAACAATTCCACTCACATAAGTATCTCGAAAGGAAACGTTTGATCTCCTAATTTCCTGCATTCTGTGCCTGTTTCTGCTTATAACAGGAATCTTTAAATAATTATACCAGTGACTTCAAATTGTTGTTGTTGTTGTTATGTGCCGTCGAGTCGCCTGCGACTCATAGTGACCCTATGTACAACAGCTCTAAACTCCGCTCTGTCCTGTGCCAATCGCACTGTCTCTGACACTCCCATCCCAATTATCCCAGTCACTGAATCAGTCCACCTCATAGAGGGCCTTCCTCTCCTGCGCCGTCCCTCCACCCTCCCAAGCATGATGTCCCTCTCTAAGACCTGTCTCTCCTCACTACATGTCCAAAATAAGTTAGACGGAGCCTCAGAATCCTTGCCTCCAAGAAGCCACCCGGTTTAACCCTCTCCAGGACAAATCTATTTGTTTTCCTAGCAGTCCATGGTATTCTCAATACTCTTCTCTAGCACCACAGCTCAAAGGCATCAATTCTCCTTCTATCCTCCTTGGTCATTGTCCAACTCTCTGATGTATAACAGGTGATTGCGAAGACCATGGCCTGTATCAGATGCACCTTAGTCTCCAGAGAGACACCACTGCTCTTCAGCACCTTGGAGAGGTCCCTAACAGCAGACTTTCCCATGGCAATGCACCTTTTAATTTCCTGGCTGCTGGTGCCAAAACTGTTGACTATGGAGCCAAACAAACTAAAGCTACAAGTCACAAAGTTTTCTAGTGAATTGAATCTGTTCTGTTCTCTTTGTGCAATGAAACAGAAAACTACGTTCTTAAACATGCAACCATATTTATAATCCATGCTTATTTTCCACATATGTATTTTCTTATCTTATTATAATTTTAAAATACTATCACTGATATGTTTTAATCTGTTGTCATACGGAGAAAAAGAATTAAAAATTTCAGTGTTAAATGAAATGATTGCTCTATTCTATATTCAGGTTTAGTGTATAAATTGCCTACTGTTAAATGAGTACAGGACCCATTAAGTAAATAAATTTGGGGGTTACAATTATTTAATATATTTTCCCATAAATTTATCTCCAAGATTACAGCAAGATAATAAATCCATTCCTAAAAATTTGAATTAAGTTTTTATTCAAAGTACCTGTTTTCTTTGACATTATTCTTTATTAAAAGAAAATATAATATTTCAAAATTATATGTATTAAAATCCTTTGAAAACATAGTACAAAAGTATTAGGGAGAATTTCCTTTAAAGAGTATGTCTAAAACAAGGAAGAGAACAAATGAGTTTCTGCAGTATTTCCCAAGGTAGTTATTTGATTTAGGTAGTTTGCTTACATCTATTTGAGAATTATTTTACAAGAATTTTCCTTGATGAGACAATAATAGTTATAAAGAAAATTCAAATATTTATTTGTTTTATAGATTTTAAAGGCACTGTCAACTTAATGTTTGTACATTGCACTAAATTAATCATTACAGCAAAATGGATCCTATACTTTATGGAATAATTTTATGTTCCAGCATGAGTATCTTTCCCTGCACACCATAAATTAAGTATTGCTTTACTCATTTGCTTACCTCCAAGATGCTATTGACACAGTTCTTTCCACTTTTCAAGAAAATGTTTTTGGCTTTTTCAATAAAAATTATCAAAATAAATATTTTTCTTATATATTTATATACATATTGTTATGTGCCATCAACTCATAGTGACCCTATGTATAACAGCTCTGACACATCTACTTCTATTACCCAAGTCATGGAGTTAATTAATCTTATCCAGGATCTTCCTCTCTTGCACTGTTCCTCCACCCATCCAAGCATGTTGACCGTCTCCAAGGACTGGTCTCTCCTGGCAACATGCCCAAAGTGAGACAGAGCTACAAAATCTTTGCCTCCAAGGAGAATTCTCTCCAGGACAGACGCTTTTGTTCTCCTGGCTCTCCACTCTTCTCCAGCACCACAACTCAAAGACATCTATCCTTCGCCAATCATACTTGGTTATTGTACAGCTCTTTGATGCAAAGCAAGTTAACTGTGAAGACCATGGCCTTCTGTACTAGGTGCATCTTAGTTTGAAGACTGACATCATTGCTCTTCAGTACTATAGAGAGATCCATGATAATAGATTTTCCAATGCAATTTGTCTTTTAATTTCCTAACTGCTGATATCAAGACTGTTGATTCTGGAACCAAGCAAGCTGAAGCTGTTAACAATTTCAATCTCTTCTCCATCTATCATGATGTTGCCAATAGGCCCATTGGTTAGAACTCCCCCCCCCCTTTTATTCTTGATGTTGAACTCCAAACAATACTGAAGGCCACAGTTCTTGACCTTCTGCAGCAAATGCCTCAGGTCATCCTCAGTTTCAACTATCAAGGTTGTGTATTTGCATAATACGGATTGTTTATAAGTATCCCTCCAAGCTGGATGCTACATTTTTCCTCATAGAGCCCAACCTCCTGGATGATGTATTCCACATATAGATTGAAAAGATATGG